AAAAAAAAAAAAAAAAAAGTTTTTATAAACCTTTAACATTTTAACATTTTCTCACCTTGCAATCAAAAACTTCTAGCATTGCTCTGGGAATTTTACATGACAGACAATGCAATTGCAAAGCAGAATTAAATCATGCATTGTCTAATCTCCCTCGTCTTGCCAGCGTCAAGGGGACATGTCATCTGTCCATCACATCACAGAGACAATAACCATGCTGCCAATGCTGCATGCAAATACGATAACTGCTCACCCCTAATCCAAACTGACCAATTAACCTAACGCTCAGACTTTTGGAAGTGCTTGCAGAGAACTCACTCAAAACGAAATGAAGAAAAGCACTGGCTATGAATCTTACGCAGGACCTTCTTGCTGTAAGGCAGCAGTGCTAAAAACTGCAACACTGTGCAGACAAATAAATTTATTCTCAGTATAAATACATTTAAATTTAATCCATCATCCAAAAACAGAAAGACTTTGCACAACTTCAACTTGGCCAAGAGGTGGCCGTTCACCTAAACTTGCAGATTGTGAGAGCATCGATCAGAGAAACAGCCAAGACACCCACGGAACCTCTGGAGGAGCTGGAGAGCTACGTAGCTCAGGTAGGAGAATCTACCAGTTTTGTGAGTCACACACTCCGCAAAACTGATTTACGTTGAGGAGTCGCAGAAGGAAGAAGCCGTGAGGATGCAGGAAAGATTGAAAAAGCTTAATCCAGAGACATTACAAGACACTGAATCTAACTGCATGCAGTAACAAACAGGTGGCCACACTGCATTGCCTTTGTCAAGCAAGCAAACACAACACCCACACTGTCTCTGGATCCCGTTCGCTAATGCCTTTACAGATTAGAAAACACCCCCTCGATGTTCCGCCTCCCGCACCCCTGCATTCACAGCAACATGAAACAAAACAATGAGAAAAAAAAAATATAAAAAATCAGACTGACACTGTTAACTACAACCCGCAGTGTTTAAAGATCGAATGTCATGAATGTGTAAAACGAGTATAGCACCAACCGAGCCTGACCAGCGCGAGAACTAATTATCTGCTGAATGGCTGCTTTGTCAGGCGTTTGTTACATGGAGGGAATGAATGGCCCGAGGAGCTGAGAAACTCCAGCCTGCTCCTCCCTCTTATAAGTCGGCGCCTCTTTTCACTCTTTTGAGTCGAGGAATTCCAACAACCCAGTCAGGCGCAAACGATTGGAAATGCGCCGCTCGGAAGAAATTGCAATCACGCTTCCTCCCGCCCCACACCCCCATCCATCCCCCGCCAAAACTCTTGAATGCAGTCAGGTGGTTCGGAGTGACGCTGACGGGACAGATCTAACGGGGCGTGTATTGACGGAGAGACGACAGAGAGCAGGGACTGATGAGTTTATCCACACCGGGGCGAGCCGGGTGATCTCGCTGCTTTCAGGTCGCCGCAGCCTCACGTGCACAGCTTTGCCCCGGCGGTCAGACAGTCTCAGTAATCACAGATTAATAGAGCAGGCTAATCCCATTCACAGGCAGGTCACTATGAGCAGACAGACACCCTTCCCCCAACTCTGCAAAAAAAAATAAAAATAGGGGGCAAACGGACACCGCGCCACCTTCCCGACACCCACCCTTCTAGGGGATCCATTAAACAGATCAGCAGTTCAATTCACTGAATCACACATTGTTGAGCTTTTCAATTCCACTCTGATCAGAAGGGATTAGGTTTGCAACCGGCATTATCTTAACTTCTACGATCCCTTTAAATATGCCAGCTGATACCATCAATTGGTTCAGATAATAAGGCTTTAATGAAGTTTTGCCCTCTCGCAATAAAAGAAAGCAAAAGCTAATTCAGTAAATTATTGGAGGCATTTCATGATTAATCAATTTGTCAAAGCTACAAGCCGTTTCAGCTCGGAGCTGACTGCGCACATTGATTTCCACCTAAACCCCTGCCTCCCTCAGCACAATTTTGCAGGAGACGCGTTTAGAGGGTTATCAACGGAAATGTAGCGGCCAGCGACCGTCGGAGCCGAGGCGAGTGGGAGCCGCTGGGCCAAATCTGATTAACTTATTAGCTCCGTCCACTGATCTGATGTCTTCGGACCATAGAGGCTGACCGTTTTCTCTCACCAAGTTTAAAATAAAATGTGAGCAGAAAGCAGTCACGAGGCAGAAACTCCTCCAGAAAAGTTTGCACAAGATGTCCACATTGGGGCCAAACCCAGAAGTCAGCGTTAAGACATTATGTCAAGAGTTTTATTTGGAAAACTTCAAAACTTAAAAATGGGTTTCAGAGGGACTCAGATATTAATCTTTAATTACTTCAATTTGAATCATTTTGAAATTTAGTTAGGATTCAGTTAGTTTGGTTTGGATTTAACAAATTTTGTAATCTAAGCACATTAAAAAAATAATAATAATAATAATTGAAATTGAATTTCTGTCCACAAATTAACTGACTGCAAGTCTAAAACAATATGACTTTTTTCCTTTTTAATCCGCACGTGTGATACTTGTATTCTTTCAATTTAAATTTAATCATTTTACAACCACCGGTACTTTCAAATTTTTGGTAATATAAATAGGTTTTACTTATAGGACCAGAGCTGAAAGAGATAAACAGACATAAAAGTGGCATGCAGTTTAGATTAAAAAGTCACTGCACAAGCACATTTATGAATTAAATAAGTAAATATTGCAGCTCTTCAAAGCTGTTTTTTTTTTCTCTTAAGTTTAGATTCACAAAAAAACTGGCCATGCAAAAAAATAGCAGATTTACAGGGACAGCTATTGCTGCCCACGCCTCGGTGCTCTTTTGGTGGCGCCACTGTCAAGAGATTAGCATCTGCTATTAAAGTCTTTTTAAATCTATCAGAAAAAGAAAACGGGCTTTCTGAGAAGTCTCCCTTTCCACAAACACTGACTCATCCGACTCCCATCATACTAATAATACATTTGTATTTGTACAGTGCTTTCCTAAGTACTCAAAGACGCTTACTGGCCCCATCATGTGATTCTCTCCCTTCCTCTGTCGCACGGCAACAGCCCCCGCCGGACATCAGGCGAGCCGGTCCTGCCCCCTGGGATCTCTGTGGGAGTGTCCTTTTAGAGTCATCTCCTCCAGCTTCTACAGGCTGTTTTCTCTGAAACTTAAAAAAAACAAAAAAAAACACCCCCTTCTCTCCGTAGCCATGCCGGAAGCACATCCCTGTTGTTCTTTCCTCTGAATCCGTCTCCATTGCAAAAATATTCATGCTTACTGGTACATAATTGCCCATGAAATGCACTTTAGGATACAACCCAAACGAGACCGAGCTCAGCTTTCCAAATGATTACTGTAGCAGGAAATTATTCAGACTGCGGATCAATTGGCAATCTTATCTAAGCTCATAAAATAGGCCCTGAGATTTGATTAAGCATTAGGCAGAATTAGAACATTTGGCTGTCTTAGTTATTTGCAGACAGACCGATTCCTAACTCTTAGCTGAAATAACAGCGGCATGACCTGCGCATAAAGCAGAGAAAGGAAAATCAAACACATGCAAAATTAAACCAATATGTGCCTGTCACTCTCCTAAATCAAGAAGGCTCAGCAGAATAGTCAAACGCAGGTTTTCCCATGACTCATGGAAGGTGGAAACCACAAATCATCACCTGCAAAAGATCACAAAATATTTCTTATCTTTTCCGCTACCGACAGCCTACACATCTTTATTCCCGCCACGCTTCAGCTCGCCGTTCTCCCAGCTTATATAACACCTTTAAGATATCTGCATTTTCGCCAATAACTCATCGACGTCTGCAGACGTCGAAAGCCTACAAACACAAAATGTCGTTGGCAGCGATGACAGGTTCCTGGCCCGGGTCACACACGGATTATTACTCTTCATCTGAAACCATAAATCAAGTCTTTTTGTTTCCCTTGTGAGATTAAATGGAAATTATGTTAATGTGAGCTGCTGCCAAACACGGCTGTGTGTATTTTTTTTTTTTTTTAGGATGTGTGCTCTCAGCAGTCATTATGCATAAAAGTACCGGGGTTGCAAATAAAACTCTGGTCTTACCTGCTGATTTTGGAGTGAACTTGTCCCTGTTGGCGGCGCAGACGGCCAGGAGCCGATAGCCCAGGTCCAAGTCGAAGCCTTGCTGCGCTGCTACGCGGCTGACCACCTGGACCCAGTGAGAGGAGGCAGAACGGTTTTTAAAACCACAGAAAAATATGATTATGACTATTTTTCAGTGGCGTTGGTGTACAGTACAAACGTTTTAGTCGTTCTTTCACCTGTTTAGGTTTAAGAGGGTTGCTGTAGTATTTAGTCACACTATAGGAAGAAAAAAAAAATCAAATTTAATGGGCTTTTGTGTGACAGACCAACAGAGAGCAGGGCATATTTGGAAAGTGGACAAAAAGGTGACAATATTTTCATAATTCCTTGTGAAAAACAAAATCTGAAAAGTATGGGGTGCATCTAAATATAGATGCACCCCATACTTCTGCCTTTTTTTTTTTAAATCACAGAAACAGTTCAAGTTCAGTAAGATTAGTTAGAGTGTCTCTGAACAGCAAATCCTGCCACATATTCTAAATTGGATTCAGGACTTTGACTGAACCATTGCAGCACATACATGTGCTGTATGTATGTATGTTTAGGGTTATCGGCCTGTTGTAGGGAGCACCTTATTTACGAACCTCCACATACAGTGAGGAGGTTATAGAAATGTATAATCGCTGGGGTATTTATACATTTGTATTTAATGACAACACATTTTAAATAAATATTTTTAAGTTATTCCACAGGGAAGTTTCCATCAAATTCTACAAACACTATATGTTTTTCAAACCTCAAATTCTGTAACAGTCGAACCTTCCGTCTTTATACAATGATAGTAAAAAGTAAGGGACAGACATGACAAGCTTAACTCTTCTCGAGGACGCTGCATTTCACTTTATCCTGATCTAGTGACCTTTTGGCAGCATCAAAGATCCAATTCAGCTTAAATGATGGAGACACTAAGAGTTTATAGCTTCCATATGAGTTGGTTGACAGCAGGATGAGAAGCAAATGTGGCCTCCAGTGCAGAGATGACCCACTGAGAGGAAACATTAGGAGACACATCAACATGCCATCGGAGGCGATGTAAATCACCATAATGTCCTGCAACAATCCTTTGATTTGCCCTTGCCATTATCAGCTCAAAGAGAGCTCCTCAACCCTTCAGGACATACAGGGTTCTGTTTGGACCCACTTCGACATCTTCCATCCCTCCTTGTCCTTTCGACGTCCCGTCGTCACACTCCGAGACGAGTTCTGAGGTTGCGGAGCTGAACTCTGCCGCATGCACCGTGTCATTATCTCCAGTAAATATAGTCCTGACGTGACACCAGCTCAGGATACGTACATCTGGGCTTTATTTAGAGGAATGTCCCATTAAGCAGAAGAAATATGAGCGGAGACGGCCAAATTAGAATCTGAGCTACTGAGGGGACGTTTTCCCAAACGGCAATTTCAGTGTAAAAAGTGGTTCCAATTCCAGGTCTTTAATTGTACGCAGTTGGTGGAGTTGAGGTGGCCAACACGTGTGTCATATCTTAGGCATTGAACCAGCCGTGTGCCTGTGACACAAGCCGCTTTACTGTTCAGGAGTAAATTGTGACAGAACATTTGTGTCATCCTCAGATGGTGATTGATTGAACAGCTCTCTGAAAGAGTTTGAAAGCTTGGGATATTGTTTTATATTCTAACCCCTGATCTGTCGGCCGAGTTCCTTGGTCTCCATGATGCCGTTTGTTCACTAATGTTCTCTAACAAACCTCTAGTGCCTTCACAGAACACATGTATTTATACTGAAATTGAATTACACAGAGGGGAAGTCTGTTTATAAATTAGATGTAAACATATATATATTTTTTAAGGGTCTTAGAGTAAAGTGGAATGAATAAATCAATCAATCAAATTTTATTTGTACAGCACATTTCAGCAGCAAGGCATTTCGAAGTGCTTTACATAATTAAAATAAAAACAGCATGTCAGAAAGAGAAAGAGATTTAAAAAACATAATTAAAACGTTAACAGCGAGAAAGAGAAATAAAAAGCTGTAGAACTTTAGTTGAGATGCCGTCTCAACTAAATGCATGACGCATTTTTCCGTTTTTATTCGGTTAAAAATCTTAGGAAATTATGCACCACTTTATTTTTTTTCTTTTTGTTGGTCTCCCACATAAAGTCCCAGTGAAATAAATGGAAGTTCGTGGACGTAATGTGACAAAAAAGCTTTGTACTCTTTACAAGACACTGCAGGTGAAAACATGAAATCCACGGGACGGAGTGCTGTGTAATTTTGCAATTACATTAGATTAACTCGGGTCTACAGAGCTCATAAACTAAAAGGAGGAAGCCGCGACATTTTCACGGCAGGACACAAATTGAATTGGCAGAATGGAGGAGAAGTCACCTGCTGGTGCACATTAAAGCGGCGACAGAAGCAGTCGCTCGATGTGTCACAGTGGCTTCGCTGACTTTCGTGCACTGCTGTAGGGGATACAGGCTGCACTTAAAGGTGCAGCGTATTTTCCTTTCATCTGTTGCTGGCAGCAGCGCGTTAAAGCAAAGGTGACAGGAGAGCGAAACTTCTGCAGTGCACGCCAGTGTTCTTTTTGAGGGTCTTTTCTGTATCAATGGCAAAAAAATATATATATTTTCTTGCCACCAACCACTGCTTTAACACTCGACTTGATTAGTTGTTTTATTTTTCATTAAATTCACCAGCCTCCGCACAAGCATTTTAATGAGGTCACTCAAAGGAGGATAAATCGGAGTGCTTCCTCTTGTACAAAGTGCCTTTATATATATATATATATATATATATATATATATATATATATATATATATATATATATATATATATATATATATATATATATATATATATATATACCCAGTGACCTTATTGAAGATCAGGCAAGAAAACATTAGCTGTCTTATGTCCCTGAGAGAGTTACGCAAAAAAGCCGACACAGCAGTTGTTTTTTAGCGGCTCTTTTCGACGCCCTTGAAACAACGAGAGCGAGGCTGCGGGGCGGAGCTGGGGACTCACCGTTAGGCATCCCATCAGGCTTTGCTCGAAGGGGCGCTGGAAGGCTCGGGGGTCTCCGCACCAGTCCAGCAGCTCGGTCGCCGCTGTTTGGAAATTTGCTGGATTTTGTAAGTGCTGTGAGGAAACAAAGAGGACAATAAAGTTGCGAAGTGTGCTGAAAATCAAAACAGCAGACAGGCGACGGGCACAGCCGCATTTACTGTCCAGCTAAAGATGAGATGATGGTCAATAAAAAAAACGGCGAAAGTGTTTTCTCGACGGTTACAAAATGAGTCAAAGTTTACACCGCAAGTTCAGAAGTGTCACCAAAGGAGGAAATACCAATACCTCCCCATTTGTCATACAGCCTTACAGGTGCGTCTCCAAAAAATGAGAAAATCAATAAAACCTCATCTGTATCGGAAATTCAATTCAAAAACTACAACTCGTTACATATGATATAGATTTATTCTGCAGAGAGTGATTTATGTTTCTTAATTTGTCGCCTAATTATAGCTTACAGTTCAGTTTCTCAGCAAACAAGAATATTTTATAGGTCCTATGAAAATGCTGTGTCATTGTTTTTATGAGAAAGACTGCTGACCTGAGAGTCGTCCAACAGACAGGCACCGATACCGTCCACAAGGAGGGTATGCCACAAGCTGCTTTGGTAAAAAAAAAAAAAAAAAAAAAAAAAAAAAAATGCTTGTTCACAGAATACTGTGTCCTAAATTTTCGGAAAGTTTAGTGGAGGGGAAAAGTGTGGTATTGCACTGTGTGATTTGTCAGTTAGCTGGTCTGACTTGAACTTCACAGAAGAATGATATCGTATTATCAAGAAAAACATGAGCGACACCTGAGCCAACCATGCAGACAAACTGAAGGCTGATATTAAAACAACCTGGGATTCCTTAACGCTTCAGGGAGAAACAGGTTGATTAACTGTCTGCAATGACACGCTGCACTGATGGTGCCACTATTATCACTGCTATTACGCTAGCATTTACAGAATTTCCCACTTTTCACTGAATTTTTTCGACAGCATAATGGCTGCCATTTGTAAAGCAGCCAATCCAGGAGCAACATTAATTTTTCTTGCCGCAGATTGGACGGCTCAAGAGTGAGGAAGAGGAAGAGTGGAGATGTAAGCTGCTGCAGTAGTGTTAAGATTGCTTCCACTAATGTATTAAATATTGATGATGTGTGCGCTTCACTTTATAAATTGAATTGTGGTTTCGCTCGAGACCCCCATCTTTACAGCAACAATCCTGACCACGGTTCTGTTTTACTTTAAATCTTAAAAAAGAAATAGAGAAAGCGGATCTACCCATCGCAACCGGACACTTCAGCTGTGAAAGCTTTAAAAACCTCAACATAAACAGCACTCAGGAGTAATCTGGAGCCTTTACAGAGATCACGCGCAAAAACCTTTACAGTGCACTTGCTCAAAACGGGAACAAATGGACTCCCACTACACGAAATCAAAGGTAAATGGAGTGGGTTGTCATCTTAAAGCGAACTGTTGTCTTCTTAATGTGTGTGCGTGCTTTGATTTCACTGTTCACTGCTGCTTTTTTCCTGCTTGCTCTTTAGGGGGCAGCAGAGGTCAGGATTTGATAAGGCGGCTTTCGTATCAGTTTGTGAAGCTGGCATTTGACAGAGGGGGCTTGGGAGGGCTCGATGAAACCAGGCTCGTTCATTTTCTGCTTTTGTCTGTGACTGTGATACACTAAAGGAACTCATGTTGAAGTGAGACGTGGCAGAGTTCCAGTGCATGCAAGTTTCTGAAGGTGGTTAAAGTGAAACACATACAGATGCTAAATTTAGGAGAGTCTCTGGAAGCTAGACAACACGTGCAATCAGCGCACCGGGGATGGAGCGGGAGAGAGGAGGAACATGTTGGAAGGGAGGGGGGAAAGAAAGCACACATCGCCACTTGGGCTTGAAGTGATTACTGTTCTTTGCACTCGGAACAATTGGTCCCACCAGTGTGGCTGTCACACGGAGTGCTTGGCACTGCCACGCCACAGATGTTCCCCTCTTTATGGCCAAAAAACCACCAATCAAACCCAAACCAGTGGCCAAGAAAACACCCTCCACCCACTCCGCTACTCTATCGCTCTCTCTCTTTCTGACTCAACATTTACACACCAGTCAAAGCTCGGCTCAGTTCGAGGGGGGAAACAAAGATGGACAGGACGTGCAGCGTCCTGAGACTCGCACGCAGCCCTCCTCTGTAGTCGCGTCTGGAAAACAACAAGCACATCTGCAGCCTAACTGGAAGTGACAGAGCGTGCGATCTGGCAAACACGCTCTTTCCATTCAACAAAAATAAATAAATAAATAAATAATAAAAAAAAAAATGCTGCTGTTCTACATTCATTGGCGCAACAGAGAAACATATTAATGGAGACAATTAACCCAGGAAAGGGAGCTCAGCAGCAGTGAGACAAAAACAGCTGTGTGGTCTAAGCAGCAGCAGCAGCAGCAGCAGCTCCACTTTATCTTGAAATATTGGTGCTAAGGAGTTGGAGGAAGTGCTCCTGCAGGGAGAAGACAGTATGCAGGGTTCTGCGGAGCCTCCACCACATGTATGCATCACCAGAGAGTAGAGTTTGACAGCAAGCCGGCTTCCCCACTGTTAGAGGAAAATCGTAACTCCGAAATAGATACCAGCAGTATCAGACAGCCCATCTTTCTCTCAAAGTATTCACAACGGTGCAATTCTGAGATGCGAGAGAAAAACAAGCTGTCAGGGAAAATATGTGCCGGGGTGAAATCAGATTGCCGTTTTTAGCATCTACTTGGATGTTATAACCCGAGAAAATGCAGTTGCTCTTCTGTGTGCGAGCTCTCAAAGGTTAAAAGGCGTGTTCTTGTGAGGTCGTTGCTCTACCAACTCTAAAACAACATGCAACGGCTTGCAAAAGCATTCAAAGGCTCAAACTTTTCACATTTTGTTTTGTTACAACTGCAAAGGTTTTATCTCCTACACCAAAGTAGTGCATAATTGTCAAGTGGAAGGAAAATGGCACGTGGTTCTCAAACTATTCTTACAAATAAAAATCTGAAAACTGTAGCATACTTACTCTCTATGCTATGCAAGTGACAAAGTGTCATTTGTGGCACAAATGTCACCAATGACAAAGCTGTATGTGCGGCTGACTTGGACTCAGGATGATAATCTTGAGATCTGACTTGAACTTTACCCCTAAAGACACTTCTGTGGGGTAATGCCTACACTTCTCAAGGCCAATAGCACTGTGTTTCTTTGTCTTACCAAAGAGAAAAACGGCACAGAGAAACTAATATTCTGCTCCAGGTTCTTAAGTAAAAGATCCATTCATTCATCAGATAGCATTTGGCTGAGTTATTGTTTAAATATTCCATTATTGCAATTTTACAACGGAACAGTAATTTAAGAATTACCACAGCAATGATTTTCTGATCTGACTTTCAACCCTCTGATTCAATCACGCTGACGGATTCCAATTTCCTCCACTTTATCATCGCGCTCAGCAGCAATTCATCATTTGAGCAACAAAATCAATTTATTACCCTGTCCGCCGCTCCGGCTGGGAGCAGTCACACGGACGCGTCGCATCTTCCAGGAAACAACACTTAACACAAAAGGCCGGGCTTCATTTGTATTCCCGGGCCTTTCTTTGAGATGCCAAAAAATTTCCAGCGGGCGCGCTACAGTTTCAATTAAAGCAAACAGCTGGATTGGTTTACAATATTTCCTTAATTATTTTAATAGCTTGGATATTGGACAATGGGGAGCGAGGGAGGGGGAGAAGATAGCGAGTTAATTGTTCTGATCTCCCCTGATGATCATCTTTGTGCGCGGGGAGGAGAATAGACGGCCAGCTGAATGGGCTCGCCGCTAGTCTAATTGGCAGGACATAAATGGTATTTATTATGCGGGCCTTCCAAACCCTGATTGTCTGCAGCACAAAGCTCGCCTCTATTAGCAGGGTGCTGGCTCTTACTGGTCGATTTGAAATGACCCCACGCTTTAACCATTTATTAGATGGACTGGAGGCCTACTCGTGTGCCATGGATCTCTCTAATTGGTGTGTTTACCCCCGCGCTGCCTCCTCAGGCGCTGACGTCGGGATGTATTTGTTTAAATTTTTGTCCTGCCGGGTTAATACATTTAACCTCGAAACATTTGAGCTGTGTAAACTGTTGTTAGACACCAGCAAACCCCTTTCCTGCACTTGTGTGAACCCGCTTTAATAGACCCTCTCCACGTTCATTACAACCAGCGGAGTGGATATTGAATTATTTAACACCCTGCTGCGATAAAGGTAGCCAGGGTGAGGACTGAGAGTGTTTACCTCTCTTCGTAATATTACTTAAAAACATCAAAGCCACATGTTGTCTCAAGCTGCTCCCCCACTGGATGAAAGGATTTGTCACGGACATGTTTAAGTATGACGAGAACCGCCTCAAAGGCCTACTTCGTGTCGTTCCGAGGGACCTCGGCGCTGAGCCGAGAAACAAATGTGCCGTTGGTTTAAGAGCCGGGTTCAGACCCCCGCAGTCTGGGCTTTACGTGACTGTGTGTCTGTGTAATTCTTGCCGGCGATTCGTCCCGCAGTAAACTGCGGAAAAGCGGGAACAAAAGGATTTGTTGGGAGTCAGCGGTGGTGGAGGAGGATGGAGAGCTGCTGCTCTTTGACCCCGGTCAGTAACCCGAGTCACACCAGAGTTCTGACAACAGGAACCGAGCAGGTTAGTTACTTTACTGCGGTCAAGTGAGAATGCTGAGGAGCATTCTGACTGATCATTTTCCACAGTTCTTCCTGCTGTAGAGTTAAAGAGTTAATAGCTTTAAAGGCTGCATGTACGGTAAGTATACACTATAAGTCTCAAAGAAAAACTGACACATAAACTAGTATGAAATTAGCAAACCTGGACATTTTGGTTCTAAACGAGTAAAACTGAACCTTTTTTTTTTTTTTTGCAGATTTTTAAGACCAGTTTGTCCACAAAATGTGCCATTTAACTTTCTTTAAGGTAGTTGTCCTGATAGGGAATTTGTGAACAGCTCATAAGTTTTGCGTCGTGGCAAAGAGGCTTTCCAACCTTAACGACTTGAAACTCATCAAATAAATCATCAAAAGACAAGTGGAGATTGAATACAAAACATATTGCAAATATACTCAACAATTAGAAGACCTGTTTGATTGTTGTAGAGGCAAAAAAAAAAGTATTTCTAATTCTTCTGAGTTTGTAATTGGGTGTTAACTGCAGGCAGACCTCTTTCGCAGCAGAGCAATAGAGGAGAGTGGTTGATTTTTAGAGCTTTGATGAGGTGGATAAGATCAGCTTCACATGTAAGTATCAACCAATCACTGATCTCCAGCAATTTAAAAAAATAAAATAATCGAGCCAATTTATTGGCAAACCCCTATTTTAAATTAAACATGACCAATATACATTTTTACATATTTTATTGAGAAATGTGAGACTCCTCTCATTTTTCCTCTCAGAAACACACTTGTCGGCTGAATGAAAATAATTTTCATTTTAAATTTGTCGGGGGTTCCGAACGATTTGGGGCATAATTTTAAAATAACATCGCTGCCGGAAGCCCGCTCGAAATCAGATTGCAGAATGAGAACCGGCGCCGTCCCCCTCCGCCTCACCTGCTTGATACACTGCAGACGATCATTGGTCTGCTGAATGTGCCTGTCCATCGACGGAATCGAGTTCATGTTGATTGTCCCCGTCTGGCCTCTATCTGCCAGCCATTAAACTGGAGAGTTCTGTAACAGAAACACAGACAAGTGTTAAGGCTCAGCTCCAAGGGAGGCTGCTGATCACATCACCACCAGGACACAGCCTCTCTCTCTCCCTCTCGCTTCCTCTGTGTATGTGTGTATGCTGTGAGTCAAACAGGGAGATATTGATTTGGCAGGTGACAAGCACCTCGCAGAGCCCAAAGGATGACATTCCCACTCAGCTCCTGTGACACCCTTAACAAGCCCCGGCGGTTGCCCCCCGTACACCTTTGGAAAAGACACGCTGGACTTAAGGCAGGATGTCTGGCCGTGTTTAAAGTGCCTCTGGGTGAAAATGAACCGAGGTAGGGAGGGACACACACACACACACACACACGCGCACACACACACACGCAAACATAATGCGTCAAACCTCACAGTCTGTCAGCATTATCTCAGAAAACTGCATGAAGCTCCTCCATCCTGCTCTGTGAGAACATTAACTTGGCATGTGGCTCTCTGTTTACATTACTTAGCCATTATGTAATCTTTGGTTAACAATTATCTGTATGCTGGGCCCAGACATGCTCTACATATCTTTCCCTCTCCTCCTCCTCCTCCTTCTTCTCCTCCTCCTCCTCTTGTACTCGCTCTACCAGAGTTCCTCTAACGAAACTCCTTACAGCGCACTATTGATTCTGAAGCCGGAGCTCATGGAAGCCCGTTCTCTTTCTTTTCATCCTGGAGAATAATTTTTCATGTAGGCCAAACAATGGGGTTGTGATCTGACATACTACACAGGATTATCGCGAGTAAAAAAAAAAAAAAAAAATTATAACCTGAACTGAAGGTTATCAGTTTTGCCTCTGGGAGACTGATTTAATGCTGCGTTCAGTGTCAAATAAATATTACAAAACGGTTGTCGGCTATAACTCAGAGTGACCTGCATCTCAAAGTGGAGGGGTTAGTGAATTAATGGGCACATTTATGAGGAGTGAAGAGCATCCCCTCCCCTCCATCCTTCCATCTACTGGTGTCTCCATCTTTCTTTCTGCTGCTGCAGGGCCATCTCATCCCCCACGCTCCTCCCTCCCCCTCACCATCTCTCTCCATTACCAATCTCACAGTGAGAAATTTCCCTGCACAAAGTACCTGCGAGATGACGGGAGAGAGCGAGAGAGGGGGAGAAATAAAAAGAGAGGAGGCAGCATGCTGCACCATACTGATAATGCTCACTTAGGGGTCTCTAGCTGGATTTAACGGCAGGGCCGGTAATCTACTCCACTAGACAGCTAAAGAGCTTTTATGCTACCTATTGGAGCTGCTCATGCCTGTACTTGAGAGGAGAGAAGGGCACATGAGTGCATTCCTCTCCATAAATTAGAAAGCTCATAAAGAAAAAGAGACATCTGAGGATTTTCTTTTTCTCCTTCTCTCCAATTCCGCGTTTGCCGATGAAAAGTATCTGTTTGCTCACATTTCTGAAGTCCTACACTCCGCTCGCACTAAATAACTTCGTGATGGGAGGAGTAGAGCACACAGTTGATGACATAGGGTGTGCAATAATATAATTGGATACTACGGGATGTAATTTACAGCACTACATGGGACAATATGACGTAATAAATCACTTCAAAATGATACAACGCGATATTAGTTGATATTTCTAACAGAAATAGAGGGTGGACTCTGGATGGGTCACCAGTCCATTACAGGGCAGCACAAAGACAGGACAAATAACCATGCATACACACTCATGCCTAATGGCAACTAAGAGAGACCGAATAGCCCACAAGTCATGTTTTTGGGATGGAGGAGGAAGCCGGACTACCCAGAGTGAACTCCTGGATGCACAAGGATGACCAACAAATTCCATGCAGAAAGACCCAAGACAACTAATCGACCCCAGGAAACTTCTTGCTGCAAAACAGCAGAGCTACCAACTGCTAGATTGTACAGGCCCACAAATGAAACGGTGTAAGGCAGAGAAGATAGAAGCTGAGGAAAATCCACACAAGACAAAATAAACGCAACACAGTTTCTGTATGTTTAAATATGTTTTCTAAAAAGTTGGTGTTTTGTTGTCTTAGAGAAGTATTTCCTTTACGAATTTAAAATAGTCTTATCTAAAAAATAGTGATTGTATTGTAAGGAGTTGTTTTATAGACTGTTCGATTTTGTTTTTGACAAAACACAAAGTGTGTTCCACAACAGATTTCGGTAAAAGAAAAAAATGTGTGCATTTCCAATTAAAGTTGCAATAAATGAAGCATCCATTTGCAATAAAATTTCATATATATATATATACACACACACACACACACACAAATGAGGAGACGTCCATTGCCTCGCTATATCCCCCAGGTGTGCCCCTCTATACTTCTCCCATTTCCTCTAAGTGTCGCTAGACAGAGGACTGATGCATGGCGCCCGCCGTCACCCTCCACCACCAGCAGGTGTCTCCCTGGCCCTTCAAAGGCCCAGCCTGTGGCACAAAGAAGGCGGAGTGGTGTTACTTTAAGCCTTTACAAGCTCTACAAATCCTCAGCTGCTGCTTCCTAACAGGGCCCACTCAGCCCAGCACTGCCTGTCTGACCTTGTGGTTATTGATGAGCGAGTCGACCTGCTCTCTCCGGCTCTCTCCTCTCTTCGCCTACTCCTCCTCCTCCTCCTCCTCTTCCTTCTCCTCTCCCCCACTCCATGTCATCTCTCTTACCTCCAGCAGTGAGTTAAAATGAGGGGAAACAAAGGTCTGAGTGTCATTCACCTCCATGTTTTTTCAGCCACACAGACATTTTTAACAACAGTTTTGATCTAAAGCCTGCGTCCACACATCGACGTCTATTAGCTTCTTAAGCTCAAAATTATATTAAACATACGATGCGAGTGTGTTGGGGAGTAATTGAATTTCCAGATATTTTCTCTTCCTAATTAACACTAGTCCTTTGTTACATCTTTTGTAACTAACGAGAGCCAATTTAAAGATTAAACCTCTGATGCGGAGCAGATAATAACAACAAGAACCAATTATAAGCCTCAGCCTATTTACATGCTCTTTTCAGATGTTATCATTCTTTATTTTCTCTGTGCCTCTCTACCTGTGATCCTATTGGATTCAGATAGGGATCCCGTCTGCCGTTGGTGAGCGCGCGATTGGGGAAATCGGTGCAGTTTTGTGCCTTACTTGAGCTTAATTTACTGCAAATTGCACGGCAGGCGTTGCACAACAAGTAGAGAGCTGTGGATTCCTACACAACAAAAGACACATGGTGTGGGTGTGTGTGTGTGTGTGTGTGTGTGTGTGTGTGTGCGCAAGAGACCGGAGTGGGAGGGAGGCAAAGGAGTGAGACCCGCTTTCCTTCCCCTATTCAAGCAGGAGCTAAAATATATGTATTGAGTGGGAGCTGTAATAAAACGAAACGGGTGAGGAGATGCAGGCCGGGAACAAATATGAAAGGCAGTGGAGTATGGCGGCAAGGCGATGGAGCACCACCGGAGGATTGGATGAAATTATCTCTTTATAATCAGGGGGCTTCTGCATGGCTGCCTCCTCCATTGCCCGGTGACAGATGAGGCCTACCCCCTTCAAATGGGCTTTTTCGGCATGCTATCAAACCCACCTCTGGGGTAAAACAATGTTTTCTCTCCTCCCCTTGTACGACTACTTTAAAGCTTTGTTTCCACTCGGCACCCCGAGAAGCTCCGCACGTAAGGCTTTGAAAGTGGCCGCGAATTGAATTGAATTTAATGGCAAAGTCGAGGGATGAAAGGGACTGAGGAACGGCGATGCCGAAACAGGTCACTGCAGCGCAGTAAAACGGGGCCGAATTGCCCAGTTAGGGATAAAAACGTTGTTTCAGACTCCCAACCCTCCGGATTCTTCAAAGTGCGTCTCTGTCGTGTTAATGTGACGAGCTGTGCGCCGCTGCTCTGTGGGATAAACCGAGAGGCAAAGCAGAGTAGACAATGATTAGCTTTATCTCGCCATCACTGCAGAACAAATGGATCACAAACCCTCTCCACTGAGCTGTTGAGGCGCAGGGAAGTGGTAAACAGATTTAATTTATTCACATAAACGGCTTGTGAACCGAAACAGTCAGGCTTGTCGGGGAGGCCAGCCACGCTGTGGGAAAATGATCGCTTCTGGACTTTTTCACGTCTCTCATGCTCCTGCGGTTTCGACCACTGTACTTCCTGACTAAAAGAGATGCAACGATCAGATTTTGCGGGACGATAACGATTCTGGATTCACTTTGGGTTCGACTTGCCTCCAGCTCACTAAAACGAGACAATACACACAGCACGAGGTTCACGAGACTGACACGAGACGGGATCTGGACAATGTTTTGGGGATAACTGTGAATCCTCTTTTTTTTTTTTTTTTTATATAAATAATGTGACGCTTTCAGAAATCAGAAACTGTGTTTTCAAGAATTTGCAGTTTTGAAAAATCCAGACCAGATTTGACTAGTTTCTTTTTTTTATACTTGTCTAATTCTAACACTATCCAACAGCAAAATAAATTTGTTTTTGTGTTTTTCACAAAAACAGATTGAAAGGTTTCATCAGTCTCAAATTGTGTTTTCACATATATCTGTTAAAGGTACAACAGTTCTGTTCATTTTTGATAAGTCTAAGAAAGAATTGGCCTCTGGGTTGTCTGTTACCTGGCTGCAGAAAAGGAGTTTATTTATTGCTTCTATTTCTATTCTACTAACAATCAAACTGCGAGAAATAATTTATTGTTGAAAAACGGAACCAAAGACCTGCTCCTGTTGGGGTTTTTGACTTATACAAGGAAACAAAACTTTGCATGGGTTGTTGTTGCGCTTGCCTTCCAATCCTCCCCGTCCTCTGCTCACTTTGGGATTTAGCTTCAATTCTTCAACACACTGCCATCACACCGTCCCGCAAAGAAAAGGTTGGGGATCAGTAGTATTTTAAGTAGTTTACATTTTTAACCAGACATCATCAAATTTATTCTATATCCAATAAAGCCAGTCAAGGACAAATTAAATGTACCAGTCAGATTTCTGTTCTTGATA